AAGGAAGGTAATTAACCAAAACAGTATTTCTAATGTTGCCGCAGGCTTTAACTAACTTAGAAAGTGGAATAAAAACTTTGGCTTGCTGTAAGAACAGAGAAGGAGACTGTCTGTGGGTGGATTTAATGGCATTGAGTACCCTCTGCACTGAGAATCATCAGTGAGAGATGACATGCCTGAAGAGTCAGCTTACGACAGCCAGAACAAGCTACACCGGTCTGGGGAATGCTGAGCTTCCCCAGAGACCAATGTTTCATGTTGAAGTGCACCAGGTGGTTTGGCATGGAAGGCGTATTCAAGAGAAAAACAATTCTCACAGTATGAGATAATTAACTGAGACAAACTATCTTTCTTTTTTTTTTCCAAATGTGTGCAATTTGAATTCAACTGGTTTGAAACTAAATTTTCACACTGCTTTCTATTGGTTTTTGAAGTTCATTTATTTTTTGCATGAGTGAAGGAAACAGAGAGAGAGAATCTCTGACAGGGTCATGACTCTCAGATCTGCCCCCCAGCTTCAGCAGCTCTGGATTGTGGGATAGACTGCACCTATGGACTCAGGGAGGCCACTAGTTCTAGACCCAGAATCTTCTCATGTGTATCAGCCTCACAGAGGGATGCATTTTACCACTGCACCATCATCTGACCCTTGAAAGTTATCAGTGTCAGTACAATCATAAAATTGGGATTTGTCTTATTCTCGGGGATGAAGAGAAAAGAATAGAGAAAGGTAGCAAGAGAACAAATAGAGAGGCAGGACATTAGTGGGAAACAGATAGGGCTTGTTACCTGTTGATGATGACGTGTATAGTATTCTCAACTGGATTAGTCTGAGAAGTATTTCATGATGGGTAAAGTCTTTTTACAAGCAAAATGAGAAATAGTGACTGACTGTTTAAAAAAATAATTGGAATAATAAAAATAATGATTGGGAAAAACAATGAAAAGATATTGAATGATGAAGTGGGGAGATTAATGTCTCTGTATTGACTGACATGCATGACATGCAATGTAATACACTGTAAAGTTATATGCAATCCAATGAAATATAAACAAGATTATGATGATAATAAAAAAAATAATTAATTTAAAAAATTGGGATTTATGGATATGAAAAAAACACAGACACCATTTATTTAAAATACTTCATTTTGGGACCAGCAGTTGTTGTAATGGCTGTCGCTGGACTCCCATGTAGTCAACCATGGTTTGAGTCCTGAACCTGGTGGCTTAAACTCACACTAGGCACGTGTGCGTGTGTGCCCAAGATCCCGAGAGGAGAATGCTGGAGAAGAAATTGCAGCATGGCCATCCCTTTTGGGGGGTGATTTCTCACTTTGTGTCTCTCTGTCTTTCTAGCTAGTGCATGAGCCCTGTAGCAAAAGCCAAAAACAAAAACAAAAAAACTTAATTTTATGGGTGGAGAATCAGCACTGAAAGACTGGTAACCCATCACAGTAAGCACACATATTAGATAGAAAAAGAGCATTTTGGCCACTGAACCACATCCACCTCCAGGATAAGTAAAGGGGAGAAAAGTGGAGATGGGCAAATTCATTACAGCTGACCTACTTCTACTTGGATAATTTGGAATCCTAGCTCTTTGTGCAAACTCATAATCTCATCCCTTCCCATCCCAACTGCCAGCAACTGCGGGGAGGGTCTCTTAGTTCCTTCTACCAAACCTGTGATGTCTTCTGAGACTTGCCTGAAGCTACATACTTATGTTCTGGTGAAATTCTAAAATAAGTTTCAGTAAACATTTTTCTGACAAGGGCCTGATAGGAGAGATTTAATGTACTGTGTACCAAGGAATCTCTGCCATAACTGTTGATATTTGACTCTGCTACAGCAACAGAAGCAGAGCCTCAAACCGTACCTGAACACGAGTGTGGCCGTGCCTCAGCTGAATCGTTTTAGATGCTGACATTTGAACTCCATATTAGTTTCATGTGTAATAAATTATTATCTTGATTTTTTAATCACTTAAAGGTTGTAAAAGTATACTCAGTTTGTGGGCTGTACAAGCATTTAGTGAGGTCAGAACTTGGACCAGGGAATGTAGTTTGCTGACCCAGAGGTGCTGTCCCGGCCTCCCTTGGAAGGATTTTCATATTCTGCAAATGGAATGACAAATTTCGCCCAAAACACCCATGTTGCTTTTCTTCCAAAGGGGCAGGTCCAAAAGAGTCTTCTGGGACACCCAAACAACTGCTTCCAAAATTCAGGTTCATTCGCAAGTGGGAGCCAGGAGCAAAAAGAAAGCACATTGACGAGGGCGACCTTGTCTCTTCCATGCCAAGGTGGGGAGGAGGCAGTTTAGAACTACACCTGTGAGAACTGGGAGTGAATGGAGTATGAAACTTCTGCATTTAAAACAGACGCAGATGTGCAGGCAGAGCAACGTGTGTACTGAGGCTGAGGCTGGAACTTGGAGAGACGATCGGGAAACAGTGGAATTGACACAAACTGCAGTTATCCCTCAAGAGAAAAAAATACATTTACACGCAATTAAAAGGAGGAGGATAAGTAGTGCAACCTCTTCGTATTTCAGAGCCCTGACTCTTCTCTAGTTAGGAATTTTATGATTCACCGTATGAGTGATCAGGGTGGGAGGGCAGGGGCTGGCAGGTGGCACAAATGCTGGCTTCAATTTCCTCGATTCAATTTCTTCTTAACGTGAAGGTTTCTGAAGTGCTGCACAATCTAATAGGACTTTTAAACATCTTCGGTTTCGTCAGAAAATGTTCTTCTTTTCTCCTTTTTAACTAGATGACAGGGACCAATTAAATTAATGAGCCTCACAAAAGTATTTCCCTTGGCAAATGGCAGGCTGTAGTAATGTTTGCACAGTGTGGTTTTGGAGCCGTAAGCCTCTGTGTTAAATGTCTATGCTCACAAGATACCTCCATGTGCGATTGGCATCTGCCACGTTTTATGTAAGTGTGAACTCACACACACTCACACACGAGCTCATACACACACTACAAATAATCAGATTTACTTTGCTGCTGCTTCATGCAGCTTAGATATATACAGGGAATGTGAGTTATAAAATTATGAGAAACATAAGCAGTCTTTTTATGTGACGCACACCATTTAGTCAAATTAGTTAATAGTGACAAGTGAAATTTTGCAAATGATCATAAAATCTGAAGAATACTAGAGAAACGTTCATTCACCTTGTTTGAATATCTTAATATTTTGATAATGATCTAATTAAATGGTTATTATTGTCTCCCTAATATTATTTAAACATACTATAGATAGAGAATTAATATGTATATTAGAATAAATAGCAAAGGCTCAATGACCTGGAGAAAAAAGGTAACAAATATGACCCATTTAATTATTTTCAAAAAAGCGCAATATTCTCACTATACATAAGCCAGTATCTACATTACAAATATATCCCATTTAATAGTTTTCAAAAAAGCACGGTATTCTCACTACACATATGCCAATATCTACACTGCACATATCTAGAGGACTGGTCAACTGTGTTCACTTTGCCTAAGCTCTTTAACAATATTATTTAATTGTAGAATTTTCTTAAGCTATGCTACAATGTATTTAAATGTTAATGTAACTTGGAAAAAAATGATCAACGTAGGGGCGCCTAGGTAGTGTGGTGGTTGGGTGCTGGACTTACACATGGCCCATCATGGTTCGGGTCCTGGATTTGGTGAATTGAAAGTCACTCTGGGGCATATGCATGAGCACCCCAAATCCCAGGAGAATGGAGGATAGGGGATTGCAGCATGGCCGTCCCACCCTGGGGTGGGGGGGGATTCTTACTTTCTCTCTCTCTAGCTCCCTGTTCCTCTCTTTACTTAGCACATGTACCCTGTGGCATAAACTTAAAAAAAAAGAAAAAGAAAGAAAGAAAGAACAAAATGAGAACTCAATGTATAGTCCTTTGATTTGTTTCAATATATTCAGTTCTTACCAGATTATAACTTCTGAAAACAGTATATTTTATGTTAGTAATGTATGACCTTAGATAGATTTTATACAATTAAAGAAAGCTTTGTCATAATAAAGTTTTATATATATATATAATATTTTAAAAGTTATTGGTTTCTTTAAATATCATTATTACATTAGTTGAAAAAGGTTACAAGTAAGTAAAATTAAGGTTTTTTGAAAATTTTTACTCTGAGTCTGAATTTGTGAATGTATTGCTGTGAAAGCCAATATTTCAGTATCTTTTTAGCTTTTTTATTTGCTATAAAAACAGATTAACTGGATATGTGCATAGAAGACAATTTCAGAATCTTAGTGAAATTCCAAGTTTAACATGGGATATACATTATCAAATTATGTTGTGTTTTTACTAAATACATGGGCTATATTCCCAACACAAAAACTTTCTAGGCTTCATGGTTATAACACAATCTACCCGATTTCCTTCTCAGTATTGCAGGGTGCAGTTCCATTTAGAAATGTTTTTAGACTAAGGAAAATTTTCTGTCACCTAAAGGGAAAGTAAGAATCGCTTCATAAGCTGTTGTCAAGCATACATGAGAGACTTTATTCATATTGTTACTTGAAATATGTGAACCAAGTATGTCTGCCATTTGCACATTCAGCCTACCATGCTCTGGAACAAATTTATTAAAGCCAAAAAAGTAAGTGATTCTCTTCTGGTTGTTGGTGCACTTCTCAGAACATGAATGGTTTTGAGATAAATCAGAGAAGACCAATGATGATAAATACATCGAGGTTGTTGTAACTCAAAATAAATGCATTAGAGCTCTTCTTTTAACCCGTAAGTAATAAGATGGTCCAGAATTAACCTTTCCTCACTACAATTAGAAACTGGGAAAAATGATAGAGACAGATTTCTCAGACATTAGCCAATAGGCTATTCTGACTGTGGCCCTTGAGGGAAGGGAAGCAAATGACCTAAATTCCACCATTGCTTAGACTCTTTCAAGAAGTAATTTCACAGAGAAGCAGAAGGAGAGGAGCCCACAAACAGAGTTTGGCAATCTCACCGTTATGAGGACAAAACAGACTTGAGGAGGCTGAAGAGTCCAGAATTTCTGGGGCACATTTCTGAGAGGAAGAAGTTACACGGAGGTGTTATCCAGAAATCTGTATGGTGGCCCAACTGGCTCCTTGGCTGGACATCAATCTTACATATGTAGGATGAAGCCCCTCAGAGCCAGTCATGAACAACTTCTGAGGGGCAGAAACATTGCCAAGAAGAAAAACAAATCTCAGAGTTCATATTGGGATGGCAACTGTGAGCGTTCTATCTTGATTTGAAAATGTACATAAAAAGCAAGCTACTGCTTTACAATCTAAAGGGTGTATACTGATTAAATGTATAAAATTTTTAAAAAGTAAAAAAGTGCAAGCTACCAATAACATACAAAATAGACTTGAAGGAAAACAACAAAGACATTTGTATCAGATATTAAAGCAATAGTTAAGTGCTTTATTGATGCAATTATATATAAATGGACCGATACAAGAGAAAACCTAGAAATAGGTCATGCTCTTGATTTTTTGTGAAATTTTCCAGAATATTCATACACTCACCAATAAGGGAGAGAGAGAGAGAGCGAAAATGAGCACCCCCTCATGGAGGATGATCACGCCACAATCTCTTTTCTTCCATTTCTCCCTTCTTTGGAGACCTTGAGCACATCTGCACATGTACTTGGCATGCCGGCTAAGCTGAGTCTGAGATCTAAACCACACAGTTGGCTGTGTGGGATCACCATGCCACTGAACGGCCCAATACTCTTGCATTTGGACAAACTTTTTGTGACTAAAGTGAAGTATGAAAGGTTTAACTTTTCCATACCTTATCAAGAAAATTTATACAGCCACATGGAGAAAACAGACTTTAATTTCTACCTCACACCATACATCAAGTTACGAATGATTGTACATCTAACTGTAAAAAGTAAAGCATTAAAGCTCCTAAACTGTTCTTCTAAAATGGTTCTGTAAATAGTCAAGGCAGAATAGTCAAACATTTCTCAAAAAGAGTATAAATACCCCCCTTACACAGAAGAACAAAAGTGGACAATGTAGACTATAATAAAATTAAAAGCAATTGTTCACCAGAAGACACCCTTAGGAGACAGATAAGACACAAACTACTAAAAGATTTGCAATACACGTATTCAACAAAGGATCTGTGCCCAGAGCAGATCAAAGGCTCCAGTCACGGAGTAAGAAAGTCACAGGTAATCCAAGAGGAAAAAACAAAGTGCAAAATAGTTAAACAGGCCCTTGATACAAAATAATACCAAATGGCCAATATGAGTTGGTTTTATTAATCACTAGAATAATAAAAATTCAGAGTACATGGATAACAGCAATAACAAAAAAAACAAACAAACAAAAAAACAGAATTGCTAACAAAAAAGTAATACCAGGACCAGCCTATAGTGTAATGATTACGTCACTGGACTCCAACATCGTCGACTATGGCTCATGTGCTGGTCCCAGCAGCTTGAAATTCACACTGGGCATTTGTGTGTGTGTGTGTGTGTGTGCCCCAAATCCCTAGAGGGGAATAGAGGAGAAGGGATCGAGGCATGGCCATCTCCTCTGGGGGCTGATTTCTGACTTTCTGTCTCTCTGTCTCTCCAGTCAGCACATGTGCCCTATAATAAAAATTCTCGAAAAAAAAAAAAAACAGAAAGCAATAATTCTCTTGGATATGAAACAGCTGGGACCCTCATACTATAATTGCTTTAGATAACTGGCAATATCTGCTAAAGTGAACATTGACTTACCTTATTACCATCAATTACACTTCTGTAGAATACGCCCAACAGAATTAATATCTACAACATATTCACTATGTTCACAGATATTCAAATCATAACAAAAAAGTGAAAATGTCCATCAACCATAGAATGTGTAATAAGTTTGATGTGGTCAGTTGCGCAAAAATAATAAATTGAAGTTTGGGTTCTGATATTTAACAATCCTCCAAACTGGGCCATTTAATTAAACTCTCCAAGAATCAATCCCATATCTACAAAGTAGTCACCATGTCTGTTCGGCTGGATCGTTGGTATTTATAGGAACTGATACACGTAAGGTATCAGGAAAGCAGGTATCACCCCCAACACATGCAGCCACATTTCTCATTGTATATATTAGATGGGAGTCATCTTGTAGAAGAAATCACGGTTTGGAACCAGCAGTTAGCATGATGGATATGTCGCTGAACTCTCATTTAGCTGACCACGGTTCAAGTCCCGGACGCAGTGGCTTAAACTCACACTGGGTGCGTGTGTGTGTGCCCAAAATCCTGAGAGGAGAATGGAGGAGAAAGGATTGAGGCATGGCCATCCCCCCTTGGGGGTGATTTCTCGCTTTCTATCTCTCCATCTCTGTCTGTCTTTCTGACGAGAGCTCGTGTCCTATAGCAAAAAACCTCTCCAAAAGAAAAAAAAAAAGAAAAAGAAAGAGATCATGGTTTGTATTAAATTCAGACTTTTAGACTCTCTTCTGTTCATTCGTACATGCTGTTTGTGTTTGTTTTCTTTATGCTTCTCCCTTGCTAGATCATCCACACTTTTCAAACCTTCTGCTCAGTTTTTTTCTGCAGAGCTATTCTGCCATTTAATATCCTTTCTTCTGTACAGATATAACACTGAATTTCAATTGCAGCACCTACTTCCTTATTCTTGAACATTTTATTAATAACATTGATGCTGGTGAGTAGGAGGGGAAGATGTTAGATTAACATTTCATAAGATTGAAATCTATTCTTCTCTTCAAAATGTGCATCATAAAAGGCATTGAGAGAAGAAGATTCTCCACATGAGCCTCCCACTCCTCCTCCTTAAGTGTTGCTCATGTTAATTTGTTAATAATAGCAGTGTCTAGAGAAACCTGTTAGCACTTTAAGGGCTTAGTGGAAGAGTCTCACTTGTGACTAGAAAAAATGGACTGCAAAGATGACACTGACATCTTGCCAGAAAATCCTATAATTTAAAATGAATCTTATAAAGTAAGAATTATTTTTCAAAGTACACATATACATATCCATTTGACTAATTTTTAAAATAGTTTGATTGCGTATATTTAAAAAAACTGGATTTGGCAAAATTGCTGCTGTATTGCACATTTTCCACTACAGGACCACATGCTAAGCTCCAGTTTTATGAAACAGCCCCCAGATAGAAACATCAAAGAATTGGGGTGATGGAGCCAGCAGGTGGTATGGTGGCTAAGGTGCTGGACTCCCAGGTGGCCAATGGTGGCTTAGATCATGGACCTGTTGACTTCATTTCTCACTTTTCATTTCTCTCTCTCTCTCTCTGTGTCTCTCACAGATCACATTTAAAAAAACAATAATAATAATAACAACAACAAATATAATTAAATAAGTATGATAATTCCCCCAGAATAATAGAATTGTGGTGAGGCAAGAGACTGATATCAGATCACAACTTTCTCTTTTTTGTACATTTAATTACTGTACATCTTTACAGCATACAAAATGAATTTTCACACCATGTACGCTGCGTAGTAGTCCAGTTGAAGTTATTACCATATACATTATCATCAGCAGATAATTTTCCATTTCCGTGTGTGTTAAGTATATTGATGTGCTTGATTGAGCCAATATACAGTGTGTTCTGAATGGGAAATCTCATTTTGTATGCTGTAATGATGTACAGTGAATGAATGTTAGTAAATAAATTTAAATTAAAAATATATATATACTTTGCTTCTTTTTTCCCTATCCCCTCCCTCCCATCCATTCCCCATCGCCCACCCTCCTCCCGCACTGTCTCTAGAGCCACAGTTGCTCTCCCTGCTTTTATACCTTTCAATCTTTCCATTTCTGCCATAGAGTGCAGACATCTGGTATATATTAACTGGGGCTATACAATACCTCTCTTTCATAGTCTTCCTGCTTTGCTTAGCACTAAATCTTCCATACTGGTCCACTTTCCATCAAATACCAGGGTCTCATTGTGTTTTATTGTTGAGTAGTATTCCATAGTGTATATTCACCAAATGTTTTGTTTGTTTGTTTGTTTGTTTTGTTTTGTTTTGTTTTTTAATTCATTCATCTGTTCTTGGACACTTGAGTTGATTACAAAGCTATGATAACCAAAACAGCATGGTCCTGGCACAGAAACGGGCATGTAAACTAGTGTAACAGAATAAAAGACCCAGAAATAAACCCCAAAACATAAAGCCAGTTAATTCTTGACAAAGGGCACCAGACATTCCAGTGAGGATAAGACAATCTCTTCAGCAAATGATGCTGGAAAAACTGGATATCCACCTGCAGAATAATAAAACTTGACCTTTATATTTCACCATTAACAATAATAAAACTCAAAATGGATCAAAGATCTAAACATAAAACTTCAAATTATGAAACCACTGGTGAAAAGCATAGGAGAAACTCTTGGAGACATGAGAGTAGACAAACACTTCTTAATAAAAAACCCCAAAGCTCAGGCAATAATCTCAAAAACAGACAAGTGGGATTACACAGGGTTAAAAAGCTCTGCAGAGCAAAAGAAACAATAACTAGAATGAAGCTACAGCCCTCAGAATGAAAGAAAGCGATAACGCTCAGAATGGAAGAATGTATTTACAACTCTGCCTCAGCTAAGGGACTAGTAACCCACAGAAAGAAAGATCAGTCCAATTAAAATATGAGCAAATGAACTGACAGCTCTCCATGGGACACATACAGTCAAAAAGCATAGAAAAATGCTCAACATCCTTTATTTTAAGGAAGAGGCAAATCAAAATAACAAAGAGATACCACCTAACCCCCATCAGAATGGCTAAAATGAAAATAGTAAAGAATGATAAGTGCTGACAAGACTATGGTAAAAAGAAAACTCTTACACTATTGGTGGGAATGTGATTTAGTATAGCCACTATGGAGAACAATATGGATGCTCCTCAAAATTCTACAAACAGAAATATCATATGATCTAGCAATTCCACTCCTGGGTATCTATCTACCCAAAAGGTAAGAAGAACATTTGTGCATCCATGTTCATTGCAACATTATTCACAATTGCTAAGGCATAGGAACTATTTTTTTTTAATAATTTTTAAAACATTTTCCTTCAGAAGTTTTGCTCAAGTATAATTGTCAAATACATAATGGCACACATTTAAGTGGTAATTATTGAGTTTTGACATACAGTTGCAAAGCTAATGAATTAAGA